CTTCATCTTTAAATAAATATATAAATAAATAAAGTTCACATTACACCCTCATTCTTCTCAAACTCACATATTCACAAATTCAGGCTCGAGACAAATAGAGGCAGGAATGATTGGACTCATTTCTTCCTCCGTAAGAAGGAAGGGGTTGGGGATGGGAGAGCGCCTCCCTTCAGAGTCAGGCTGTTTATAATCTGCCATTTGCAACATCATTGTTCCTCACCGTGAGGACAGTTTTGCTGAGAGGCCTTGCAAGGATGGTGTCCCAATTCCTCATCCAGTGCAGACATAATCAAAACATACCCCCACCGCCAAAGTCAGGTTCTATTATGGTTTGGAAAAGATACCTGCTGAGCGGTCACTGCCTGTCACCTTGTCCCACAGACTTCATCCTGGAAACTTCTGATTTCACCATCCCTTCTTTGACCACTAGATGGAATATTTTCACTTCTATTCACTGAAGCCCTGAAGGGACAGTTTTCCAAACTGGACACACTGCTTGAGAATCCCAATGCTGAAGGGGAAATGTCTTTCCTTTAATTGTTCTGCTTACCCTAACCGTTTTCTAAGCACTTGCATCACATGAGAGTGAATGTGGAATAGATGTTTAAGATCCCCACTGTGTGACCTTCAACTAAACCTGTCATCAACAGAGCTTTATTTCAAAAGGGTAACCTGAGTATTACAGTGGAAATCCCCTGGCACCCTTCTGCAGGGCCTTCTGCTAACTTAAGGCTACCCTTAACTTCACTCTTGAAACCTCAAGCCTTTCATATTCCCGCTCTGAAAGCCAACAGCTGGGGTATGAATGATTATGGGGCAGGATCATGTACCGATTTTAGAGCAGTAACTGCAGACAAGTTGCTTTCCTGACAAATAGAGAATTCTTGTTGAAAGGTAGTCATCATCTTGACAGTACCATAGCCTGTTGTTACATCCAGTAACAGAGCCAGCTATCTGGGGTGTTGGAAACATGCTACCGGCAGCTTAGAGCCTGATACACCAGTACAATGTGTTCAGTCTTTCCCTTGAGGCCCAAGTTCAAAGAATTATTTAGGGATTCCCAAAGGAATGGGAATTACAGTGTAAGTGATTTTGCAGAAAGTCAAGAGAGGGCCATTAAGCTAGAATGAGGGCTCCTCACTTGGGAGGGGAAATGCTCTTTGCTTCAGACAGAACCTGATCTGTTTCGCTCAGGAGGAAACAGGGAAGGCAAGACTGAAGGATCCTGTTTTACAAGGATGTTTAGCTTTACCAAATGTTTAGGTGTGCTGTTGTTAAAATGAAGAGAAATTAGAAAGTGTTTCCTTTCCTTTATTCTTCATCTTGTTTGTCCCCCTTATTATCCTCAGAAGTATTAGCTTGTGGTCATAAACAGACAAGGCAAAGCTTTAAAATAGCACCCACTTTTCTAGATGAACAAAAATCTTTTAATCAAATTTCCCTAGGGGCACTCAGGAGGGGGAAGTCTCATTAACAACTTTCCCAGAAGTACTGAGGTAATGCTATTCAATTCAGAGGAGGGACAGAGAGAATCACTAACCTGAGGGCTCTTGCAGAAAAAAAAAAAAAAAGACAAAAACAGAGCTTGGAACAAGTGATTTTAGGAGGCCAAAGCACAGACAGTGAAATTGATAATTATATCCATGACTATGTTCCCATAGCTATCCCTCCTTAGTTTATGAGACACTGAGGCCCAGTGTGGTGGCTCAAGCTTGTAATCCCAACACTTTGGGAGGTTAAGGTGGGAGGATGGCCTGAGCCCAGAAATGAGACCAGCCTGGGCAACATAGTGAGACCTAATCTCTACAAAAAATAAAAAAAATTGGCTGAGCATGGTGATGTACACCTGCAGTGGTTTTAGCTACTCAGGAGGCTAAAGTGGGAGAATTGCTTGGGCCTGGGAGCTCAAGGCTGCAGTGAGCTATGATTGCACCACTGCACTCCAGCCTGGGTGACAGAGTGAGACCCTGTCTCAAAAACACTGAGCCAAACTCTACAACTTTATTACAATCACCATCACAACCATCATCCAAACTACCATTCATTTAATATTTACTATGGGCACAGACTGTGCTAGGTACTTTATATACACTAGGTTATTTAATCCTCATACAGATCCCATGAAAACTTCTTATTTCTATTAAAAGAAAAGTTAATTGGGCAAGACACCTGCCAAGGACACAGAGCTTAGGAAGTAGCAAAGCTGAAAGTTAAACCCAGGTCAGTCTGACTCCAAAGCCTCTACTCTTAACCACAACACAACAGTGCTTTCTTCTAGCTCAGATTTTTCTTCATAAAGACCACTGACAGCTGCCTGCACACAGCATTAGATTTAAAAATCATTAGATTTAAAAATTCTGTGGAGGCATGATGGTTTCCAGTTTTCCACTGAAGACACTGAGGTACAGACAGGATAAGTGACTTGCCCAGTGTCCCATCACTAGCAGGTGACAAAGTTAATTCTAGACCCAGATCTTTTAGTTCCTTTTCTATGCAACTATACTGTATCTTACAACAGTCTTGTACTACAGTAAAAAAAAAAATACATTTTAAAATTGAGAGCCTCAAATAACTAGCCCTGCCCACAAAATGAAAGAATGAAACAGAAAGGACTTTTGATACACAGAAATAAAGGATAGTGAGCATAAACCTCTTCATGGTAACTTACAAATAACAAGCCATATGCCCAAGCTATCTCGTGTCAATTAGTCAGTATTGGGAGAACCTAAAACCACGTGAGAAAGAGCTAGATCAAACAAAACAACAAATACTGGCTGAGCTTTTAATTTCAAGAGCCTAACTAGCCAGACCTGTACATCAGAGAATGATCAGAGAAAAAGGAGGTGCCAGGATAAGCCTACGTTTCCAATTATACCCACGGGTAATTTCTCTTCCTTCTTATTTCTCAGGAAGGGAAGTAAAAAGAGAGCCATGTTATGCCTAATTCCTAATTTGAACAGAAAAATAAGGATTCTGTGAAACTAGGTTCGAGTGCCCTTTATTAGATCCACAGAATAATTTAGAAAATGATAAAATATCCCAAAACACAGCACAATGTTGGTTTACCAATAATGAAAGAGAGAGGATCTTATATTTTAAATTTTCGTAACATATAGTCCAAAACAAATAGATAATTATACATTTTGCAATAGATGAGGACATTGGCAGGGCATATAAAATTAGACTCTTGAGCTTCAAATGACTAAGTTGGAAGCATTAGCAAACTCAAGGAAGGGACAATTCAGAGGCTATAATGGGCTTAATGCTGCTATTTAAAGTAATGAAGCATTTTCTCTGCTTTCTGGATTCATTTCACCAAACGATTTCCTCAGCAGGTCAGATATAGATTTGAGGCAAAATGAAGAACATTTTCCAGGAATAAAACAACTGATCCCTACAACAGCTGACTTAACTTTTCTGAATAATAAATCTTCATCTGACATGCCCAGATGCCTCAGAGTGCTGTCACTGATATTCTTAACCTCTTCCTAACCTTGCTGGATCCTTATACTTCATATTTACCAAACATTATTACTGAGAGGGGGTAACTGCACTAGCTGTGTGATCTTAAACAAGTTATTTAACTTATTTGTGCCTGAGGTTTTTTTGGCTCTAAAAGTGCTACACTGAAATAAAGAACAGTGAACATAAACCCCTTCATAACTTACAAATAACAAGCCATATCTGGTTATGGCTAAACTATCAATAGCACCTACCTTATGAATTTGTTAATGAGGATTAAATAAGTGCTTTAAAAGGTCTTAGCACATAATAAGTACTTAATAAACCTCAGCTATTATTACTGCTATTCAACAAAGCTTTTCCCTGGTATCTACAATGAACACTACGCTCATTTCTTTTTTGTTATAAGGCCTTAGTTCAGAATTTCCAAATCTCCTAGATATGAAGAAACACTTTTGTTTCTAATGCCTGAACCTTTACATTTAGGTCTCAGAATGAGCACTAACTGAAGCCACCTCATTGTATCTAGTACTTTATATATGCTTTCTAAAGTATTTTACATCCACTAGTTCATTTAAATCTCCTAACAATACTGCGATGAATGTATAATATCAGTTTTTATTAGTCCAATTTGATAGAAACAGGACAATAAAGTCCAGAGTAATGCTTCACTTAATGACTATATTGCTACTAAATGGCAGAGAGGCCTAAATGCCAGAGCTTATCATCTCCTAGCCAGTGCTCATGCAACTATACAAAGTAAGATATTCTAAGATCCCTTTAGAGCAAATGAAACCATTTTCTCATTTATATTAACTAAAGTCCACACTGTATTCAGATTTCCCTAGTTTCTACCAAATGATCTTTTTTTTTCCCCCCCCTGGTATATAATCCCATGTAGGATACCATATTACATCTAGCAGTCACGTCTTCTCAGGCTCCTCTTGGCTGTGACCATGTCTCAGATTTTCCTCGTTTTTGATGGCCTTGATAGTTCTGAGGAGTACTGGTTAGGTATTTTGTAGAATGCTCCTCAACTGGAATTTGTGTGATGTTTTTCTCCTGATCAGACTTGGGTTCTGAGTTTTGGGGAGGAGGACCACAGAGGTAAAGTGCCATTCTTATCACATTCTGTATGATGTGATGCTATCAAGGATACATGCTATCAAAAGGGCTTATCATAGATGACGTTAACCTCAATCACCTGGCTGAGCTAGTTTCTGTCAGATTTCTCCACTGTAAAGTTACTCTTTTCCCCCCCTTTCCATATTATACTCTGCAAGGAAGTCACTATGTGGAGCCCACTAAGTGGGGAGTATCTACATAAATTATTTGAAATTCTTCTGCACAAGAGATTTGTTCCCATTCAATCATTTATATTAGTTTGGGCTTGTAAATATTTATTATATAGTTTGGGTTATAACCCAATTCTACTTTGTTTATTTTGTTACTCAAACTGCTCCAGCTCTGGCCTTTTGGAGATCCTTCAGTTCGATCATACTGACATACTCCCAATCACTGTGATTTTTTTTTTTTTAAATTTCAGAACTTCACTTTTCTGTGGCACAAGATACTCTAGGCTCATCTTGTATAGTTCACACCCCAGTTGTAGAATCAGTTGATTTTCCAAGGAGCCCTGGTTCCTTTTATTGGAAACCAAAATCTGGGCACCAGGTATGCTCCCATTCTAGTTGTTTTCTGACCACACAACTGCTAACAAAGATGCTTCACTCTGGCTACACCGATGTGAACTTTGAACTTTAGCAGAAGAGCTCAGCTCTAGAGAACAATGATCTCCTACGTTACTTTTTTTCCTCAAAGAATAAGTAAGTCTAAGCAGAAAAAAAATATGCAAAGAATTTTCAGTGTGAATGAAATAAGACAAACCATCAGGCTTGCTGTATTGTAAACCAACCCAAGTTATAACAGATCTGTAGAAGGATCCTTAGAATAAGAGAGTCATTTGTCGGGGGTCATCAGGGAGAATACTGATAGTATCTTCAGCTTTGCCACATAACAGACACAGCATGGTATACTCCTAGAACAAGATAAAGTGCATAATTACCTTGAGGAACAGGGAAAAGATGCTTTATAACTTACTCTAGTTAAAATGTTCTCTACAAATTATCATGAATATTCTTTCTGTACATTGGATCAATTTCTTCAACATGTATCAGCAATGTCTTAGGCTTATTCTGTATATTCCACAGCCTGTTGTTTATATAAATTGGTACATAAATGTCATCTTGGAAATACACGGCTATTTCTCAGAAAGCACATATATTTAGCTTAGTGCTACTATTTAAAGTAATGAAGCAGTTTGAGTGTGGGTCCCTATGGAAAAATTCCTATTCTTATAGCTGTTCCTTTCTAGGATATTTAACACTAACACACAACAGAAATAATTTTTTGAAAGGAGAAAATTCACAAACCGAAAAAGCTATTTTTATCTACTCCAGGAAAATAAACAATTATGTTAAATTCACTAGTATGTCCTACCTCATTTTCAGATAGCTAGTTGTCTGTGAATTTGATCCATTTAAGAAGTTTGTTTCCTAGGTTTAACAAATGCCCAGACTGATAACAGAGGAGAGTTTGTTTTAGGCAAAAACCCTTAGGGCAAAGTTCTTTTTTTTTTTCTTTTTTCTTTTTTTAGACAGGGTCTCACTGTGTTGCCCAGACTGGAGTGCAGTGGCGCAATGATGGTTCACTGCAGCCTTGACCTCCTGGGCTCAAGTGATCATCCAACCTCAGTCCCCCAAGTAACTGAGATTACATGCACTTGGCAACACGCCTGGCTAATTTTTAAATTGTTTGTAGAGATGGGGTCTGTGTTGCCCAGGGTGGCCTCAAACTCCTAGGCTCAAGTGATCCTCCCACCTTGGCTTCCCAAAGTGCCAGAATTACAGGTGTGAGCCACTGCACCCAGCCCAAAGCCCTGTTCTTTTCCTTTTTTGAGACGGAGTCTCGCTCTGTCGCCCAGGCTGGAGTGCAGTGGTGCGATCTCCACTCACAGCAAGCTCCGCCTCCCGGGTTCATGCCATTCTCCTGCCTCAGCGTCCCATGTAGCTGGGACTATAGGCGCCCGCCACTGCGCCTGGCTAATTTTTGTATTTTTAGTAGAGACAGGGTTTCACCGTGTTAGCCAGGATGGTCTCGATCTCTTGACCTCGTGATCTGCCCGTCTCGGCCTCCCAAAGTGCTGGGATTACAGGCGTGAGCCACCACGCCCGGCCTTCAAAGTCCTATTCTTACAGCTTTCCCTTTCTAGAATATTTAACAGTCATAAACTACAGAGACATATTTCTTTGAAACCTTTCCTTTAAAAGCCTTTTATCTCTGTATGAAAACAAACATCTATGTTAAGTCTTCTCGAATTTCCACACCTGATGCTGAGTTTGCTAGCTGTCTGGAAATTGATCGGTCAAGGCAGTTTGTGTTTCTTGGGTTTAGACAGTCACTAGAGAGGGCCACAGAGGTAAACAATGACTGTGGTACAAAGAAATTGAAGCTGGCAACTGCTTTTTCCATCTTCTACTGGTGAGTTCAGGAGGGGAGCTTAGTTGTGGAAGTGGAAAGATTGCTTTATGAACTAAAAATAAAATAAAAATACATCCTCTTCAAGGTCTTTTACCACTGTCAAATACTTCCACTGCTTTAACCCACCAAGCATTGCTATTTGGATGGTAACCTTTTACAGGAAAAGAAGAAGGAAACAAGTAATAGAGTCAAAAAGAGAAAATGTGTGACGCTAAACAAATACTTGAGTTTTCAACCAATCTAGGCACTGACAAATTTATACTGAGTGCCTACGTGCTCTGCAATGTGCTGGCAGACACGAAAGAACAAAGTCTGACTTTATAAAATCTGCAGTCTAACTTGGGAGGGGGAAAAAACCTAACATATAATCTGGCAAGATTATTAAATCAGTGAGACTGATCATACCTATAATCTTTATAGGCAGTCTGGAACCCAAATTTCATTGCAAGTCAATTATTTGGAATTCAAAAGCAATTTCCCACAGAATTAATGTCATACATGGCGGTTAGGTTCCCAGGAAAATCCACAAGTCTTTTACATTTATATTGTTCAAGTACCATAGAATCTAACCATATATAGAAGTGCTTCTGTGGGAAAATATGTCTAGAATTCTAACTTGGGATGCCAGGAACAGATCTCCTTGGCTGCCAGGAGTATGATGAGATTAGGACACCTTTTATCAAAATCATTCAAGTAGAGAAAATAATTCCCCCAGTCATTCACAGGGACTCTTAAAGGCTCCAACTGGGCAGGGCCTAGGGGAAGAGATTTGGAGGGAAGAGCAAAATGGGTGGAATTACCTCTGAGTAAGACCAGATCTTTTTTTTTTTTTTAATTCTGAGGGCCCCTTTACTCTTTTCCTCTATTAGTCCCTGTTAATTCTGACTCCAAGTCTTCTCCTTCCCTGGCCCACAGAGGAATAGAAAGCAGTCTCATAGTTTCTGTCTTGTTTCTTGAAGTAAACATCTCATAGTTTCTGTCTTGTTTCTTGAAGTAAACACACAGAACATTTTGGTCGGGGGACAGCGGGGGGCCTTTTGCTGGGGGAATTTTTTTTAAAACTAAAGGATACCTATAATAATTTATGATATATTTTCCATGTAAATTCTGTCTCTCTGTCGCCACTTTTCCCCTAGTCTTGTCACCAGAAAATCCTACTTTGTTCAATAATGGCATTACGGTTGTTTTAAAAACAGAAGACTTATCTTTCAGAGAGGCTAATGAAATATTTAAAGAGGTAGTGATATGTTTGGAATTTGCTTTGAAATAATCTTGTGGGGGGATGTGAGAAAGGTGAAGTACAAATAAAGCAACTTGAAGATGGGTAGTGTACATTAGTACACTGTTCTGCCTACTTTGGACTATGTTTAAATCTCCTATAAGATGTTTAATATAATACGACAACGATGGCTGGGAATCCCACCTTGAACTTGAACTACTGCCAGGATAGGATGAGGGGCTGGGGTAGGGTGGGGACAAGGATAGTAAGTAATGGCAGCTGAGAATAGAGGTTTCTTGTAGCCATTAGGCTGAGGTAGAAGTTCCCAAGTGGCTATTCACCAGAGTCAGGGCCTGACATAGGTACAAGAAAAGTTCAGAAAAGGGAGAAGATGTACAGGCTTGAAGAGCAAAGAGGAGACTGAATTTGAGTTCAGCTAGAAAGAGGTAAGATTTAGTTGACTTGAAGGTAGAGAGAGGGACAATTCAAATCAAGGAAAAGGCATGAATATGGACAGTAATAAGGAAAACAGTATGTGCATCGCTTACGGAGTAAAAGGGAAAGGAAGCTGCATCTGGTTTGTTAGCAGGGGAGTGGAGGATGACATGTTTAAGAAGATTAACTTGATGGCAGTGTGCAGAACTGCAGTTTGGGAAATGTGCAGTAATTCAGGCTTCATTGGGTATGGTCCTTGACATGAGGTATGATGTTAGAGTCAGAGAAAAAGCAAGAAAAACAAAGAAAACAGAGGGGATGAGAGGTGTAGGCATGAAGGCTAGAGAAGGAAATGTGAAAGGTATCTAACAGGTCTCTACTAAGACTGAGTACATGTGTGTTCACTACATGAGAGAGCATAAAGAAGGTTCCAGACCACAGACCAAAAGCTCAGGAGTATCACTTAGAGAAAACAGGAAAGAAAAATGAGAGAAAACCCAAAGGAGCAGTTAGAATGATTTAAAAAGGAAAGAAGTAAAGCACTATGAACCTCAAGGGCAGAAATGCTACAAAAAGACAACAATGGTTAATAAAACTAGACGCAGAAGCCATGTAAGAGAGAAAAGAACTAAGGCAAAGTCACAGGATGTGGTTAGATTATAGCAAACCTATGAGAGAACAGTTTTAGTACAGTGAAAATGAAAACCAGTTTGTAGGTAGTTAAGAGGAGCACATGGAAATAAAGAAAATAGGGTAAAGACCTATTCAAGTGGCCGGGCAATGGCTCCCACCTGTAATCCCAGCACTTTGGGAGGCTGAGGCAGGAGGACTGCTTGACCCCAGGGGTTCAAGACCAGCTTGGGCAACAAAGTGATACCTCATCTCTACAGAAAAAAATTTTGAAAATAGCCACTCACGGTGGCTAGTGCCCGTAGTCTCAGCTACTCTAGGAGTTGAGGCAGAAGGATCGCTTGAGCCCGGGAGGTCAAGGCTGCCGTGAGCTGTGATTATACCACTGCACTTCATCTTGGGTGGCAGAGTGAGACCTTGTTGCAACAAACAAATATCCTATTCAAATAAAGAAGCAAGAGGAAGAAGAAATGATTACAGGATGAATCAAAGTACACTAGAGAGAGAGACAATAACATGAGATTCCTGAGGAAATGCAGTGGGGTAGCATTAAAGAGGAGTAAATAAAAATCTTCCTCTCTAACAGGAGAGAAGGAAGAGTCTAAAGTTGGGACAATGCTAAGTATGCTGTACATACGAAAGAGTGGCGGGAAATAAAAGAAGGGAAGCTGGGCCAGTCCAGTGAGAACCTTGAAATGAGGAGCTTTGATATTGTACTGTAGCTAAAAGTGCGCTATGGGAAGGCCAATGAGGTCACCCAAAAGTATCATTTATTTTTACTTTTTAGTAGAGACAGGGTCTCACTATGTTGCCCAGATTGTACTCAAACACTTGGCCTCAAGAGATTCTCCTGCCTCAGCCTCTTGAGTATCTCAAACTGTAGGCACACACCACCGTGCCCAGCTTTGAAAACATCATTTTAAGAAAATTAATCTGATGGTAGAGTATGGAATATGAGTTGGGGGGTGGGTGGGGAAGTAGATGTTGGGGAGGAGTAGACTGGGAGTAGAGAGTCTAGTTTTAGAATCATTTTCACCACCATTTCATAGTTTCTCACATCGTGACAAGCCACCTTCCTTTACCTTCTTCTTGTCCCAGAGTAATTTCTAGGGCAGCTTTGAAAATGGCTGCATTCAGCCATAAAGGAAAAATCAGCTAGACTTTGGTCTAGCTAATTTACAATGGCTTGGTTAGGACATAAACAGGCAACCTCAATATTCATTCGGGAGCTGTACATAACTCATGTGAGTTTCAGGAGCTTCTTGAAAATAGCTATAAGCACTCCTTTCCTCCCATAAAAGAACAGAACTGTTTCTTTAAGCCCAGGAGGTGCTCATCCCCCTATGTGGCCACTACTTATTCACTAAGATGTCAATTTTGCCCTAAGTTACACATATCATATAAATATTTCCTGAGGCCTAATTTTTGGATGCTGAAGAAATATAGTCAAGATGTTATTTTAGATTAACCACAACACATCAGACCAGACTCTGATAGGTGACTAAGCAGTTTCTTCCATGCTAACATAAGGAATAAGAGGGGTTTTACTATCTTATGATTCTTCTATGGAAGACTATTATTTTCCTAATTAAGTACTATCCAAATGTGAAGGGAATTGAAAAAATTCTCTTGGCTGTTAAAAGCCCTAGCCTGATATTTATATCCTATGGACAAATACGTAGTTCACACAAAATAAGTAACTCAACTTGAAGGCTTGAAAACAGGCAGTGAGGGACAGAGGCAGGTTTCAGTTTGTCCCTGGCTCTCCCACACTGCTCAGCTTTTCTTTCTGATCATCAGACCTGTGAATCTTCAGCAACTTCAGGCCTATACCAACCTTCCAGAGAATTCTTCACATGCTCTCACAATTGTGTAAGGATTAATCCTTATGATAAATCTCTTAATCTCCAGCTTCACAGTGGTTCAGTATTTCTCCTCCAACTTTGATACACACAGCTTGTAATTTTACTTAATAATATTATAATGTCTTACCACAGATGAGACTGCAGAGTTGTTCAACTCTACATGCCAACTTGGGAAAACAAAGATAACCTCCTTATCACAATTTCCATGCTGGGCAAGTATGGTGGCAGTGGACAGGCCACCACTTAAAAGCCCACAACTGCACAGTCACATAACTGGGCAGAAAAAAAGAAGCACAATGGTAACCTCAGAAGAAGCCAGAATGTGCTACTATTCGTTATAAACAAAAATGACAGGGCTGAGATATCATTTGTAAACTACACATTTTGATTTGTGACTCTTGTGAAGTCAGGTTAGCACAAATGCACCCACATCTAAAGTCTCTCTCTCAACTTGCACAGATATAAGAAAGGCATGGGGCTGGGCACAGTGTGGCTCATGCCTGTAATTCCAATACTTTGGAGGCCAAGGTGGGAGGATTGCTTGAGCCCAGGAGTTCAAGACCAGCCTGGGCAACATAGCAAGACACCATCTCAAAAAAATAAAAAATAAAAAAAACAAAAACCATAGTCTCCTTTAATATATGCTAACACTTTGCACTTCACTTATGAAAACTGTGTTTAGATTCTCAAGGGCACTTTTGTTATTGCCCTAACCTCCCCACAACACACCCATATTTATATTTACCTGAAATTCATCCATGATACTGAATGTATACTCATGTCTGGCTATTACATGATGACAATTCTTACACAAATCTGCTAAAACAAAGAAAGACTTATGTAATTAAGTCTTAGAGAGTTTCTTAAAATTTCTATTAAAATTTCTATTCTCAGCATATTATTTAAAGAGAATCTTAAGTCTTTCATATTTAACACAAGAGGAAATCCATTATAATATCTACCTTGATTTTTAAAAAATTCAGAATATGCCACATAGCAACACTACATAATTAAGAGTCTGAGCTCAGAGACTTAATATGCTTTTACTAATTGGCACCAAGAGTTCTTTAAGAGAATCAGTTAAAAGATATTTAAGTGTATTTTTACACTAGCTAGATCAATTTTTTTTTTTTTTGAGGCTGAGTCTTACTGTGCTGCCCAGGCTGGAGTGTAGTGGCACGATCATGCCTCACTGCAGTTTCAACCTCTCAATCTCAAGTTATCCTCCCAAATCAGCCTCCTGAGTAGCTGGGAGAATAACTTGAGCCCGAGAGGGGCTCAAGACATGCGCCAATACACTCAGCTAATTTTTTTGAGTTTTTGTAGATGTGAGTTCTCACTATGTTGACCAGGCTGGTCTTGAACCCCTGGGCTCAAGTGATCCTCCCTCCTGAGCCTCCCAAAGTGCCAGGATTATAGGCGTGAGCCACCACGCCCATCCCAGCTGTACCTATTTAACTATGTAAAAGTTTTCATTATCATGAATAATATAAACTGTGCTACTATATCCAATCATAAATAAAAACCAAAGCTGGGCATTCAAGTGAATTTAATGGTAACAAAATAATCTAGTAAAAACAATGATTTATTGAGTGCTTACTATTTTAAATATTTAATCTTCTAAAAAACTCAATAAGGTAGATACTATCATTACCACCTTTTTAGAGATAAGCAAACAAAGGCATACTTCAGTTAAGTAACTAGGAAAAGGACTGAGCCAGGATGTAGTGGAACTAGAAGTCAAACCCAAACAGCCTAGCTCCAGGTCCCTTGCTCTTAAACCACTATGCCCTATTGCCTGGAATGAAATACAGCTTAAAGAAAACATACGCTAAAAAGAAAGAAAAAGATTCTTCTAGCTTAGAACATTTATTATTATCTGACTCCATTCTAAAGGCTTGGTGTCTTTCAAACTCCTCTGTCAAAATACCATTAACTGTACATTTATTCCTCATGTGTTCAGACGGTACCCAAGAACCAGGAGACAAGCAAAAAGGGAATGTGAACAGTTAAATACTTCTCACAATATCTGGGCACTGACGTATACATATACTTAACTTACAGAAATCCTTAGTGCTAACCTCAGAATTAATTTTTTTTATACACAGTTTATTTGGTTTCCCAATATTGAGGACGAGGAGAAGGATATGAAGGCAGCTTATTATTTAGCTGCAAAAGTAAGGAACAACAGACTGACAGTGACACTGGAGGAAAAAAAGCTAGACATTCTGAGCAGAAACAAGACTAAAAGAAACACTGCATTCCGGAAGTCATTTAGTATAGGGACAAGTAGCCCTAAATACTTTAATAGCTGTTGGAGGATATCATGGTATTATACTGTAGCAGAAAGTGAAAACTCACATGGATGACCCTAAGGTCACAATAATAACAATTAATAAAAAATATATCTTGTTAAGGCAGCATAAAGCTTTTAAAAGTATGTCCCTAAAAAATAATTTGATAAACAAAAAAATTCAGTGTCTGAATCATAAGCTCTAGTTATCTGCAAAAGTCATTTACATAGACTCTTTGATGATCCCAGATAAATGAGGTGTTAATGACATTTTCCTCTTAAAAACCTAACTTGTAACTATGTGCACGATACAATAAAGAAATAGGCCTCAGAATATTTTGCGTAACATATCAACTTCCAAAAGCTGACACCTGCTAACACACTTAGGTTAAAAAAATAAAGAAAAGTCTACTTACGATCATAGGTAACTATTTCTTCTCCATCTTCTTCTTTCAAGGATTTGTTTGTGATCAGCATAAAATCCCGCTTACTACACACTGCACAGCCTGTAAAGTTCAGCAAAAAAGATCCATTCTCCAGGCAGGTGTTACCCTAAAATATCAGAAACAGGAATTTAATTTCTTTACATTTCAAAATCTTTAGTGAGATGATTAATAGACTTGAAATCTCTAAAGGCAAAACAAAACGAAAAAATGGACAGCATTTCCTTCTAGGTCATATACCAAATAATTTTTGAAATTACCAGCTTTCCTAAAGAAATGTTACTCATGTTAAAAAAAAAAAAAAAAAGGCAACTAAAGCACAGTGTTAGACCCTTAAGTCTCTGAGGACTGCCATATGTTGAAAAGGGAGGACAAACTGCAAATAGATATCTGGAAACATCTTAAGGAAACCTTAATATAAAATAAGAAAATAGAAAATTAGAAAAATTTAATAGCCAACAATATTAAACGAGGCATACCAAAACTAGAATTAAATTCAATCAAAACAGAAACTGAGTCAATGATAAAGATGATCTTACATACTATGATGTTTAGTTGTTTGTTCAAATAGTTTTGATCCTTGATCATAATACAAAACGAACAAACAAAAGTAAACTCCTAGCTCTATAGATGTCAGTCCTTAAGAATATACGTGACTGAGGAACAGAAGCTTAAGTTCTTCATTTCGTAAGACTGACACATCTGCATTTAAGAGAGAATGGGTTTTACATCTTTACTAAGAAACTATACAAATTTTCAAAAAAAGTTTTTAAAAAAGAAATTCTAAATAACTTATGCTCCTGGCTCAAGGGAAGACTTTTTTTTTTTTTTTGGTAATTTAGATGGGGTCTTGCTATGTTGCCCAAGCTGGTCTCAAACTCCTGGGCTCAAACGATCTTCCCACCTCAGCCTCTCAAGTATTGGGATTACAGTTGTGAACCATCGTACGCAACCAAAAGCAAGTCTTTGCTAAAGGCTTACTAATACTTGTTAAGAATTAAAAGTCACTTTATAAATAATCTAGTCCAATCCCATTTCTCAGCAACAAACGTAAGAGTATTTTTAAGTAATGTGACAAAAAATCACTCAAATCAACGTTTCTCCAGTGCATCTGTATGTCTGGTATTGTGCAAAGCACAATAGAGGATTCAAAGATCAGCCAAATACGTTCCTATCTTCAAGGAATTTTAAGAAGCATCAGCAAAATTAAGATTCACCATAAATAATGCCACTAGGAAGTCTTTCTGGATTCCAAGCACCAGAATTAATCTCTCCCTTCTATGTATTGAGGAATGTCTCCCTTCCGTGTATTGAGGAAGAGATGAACTCTGGTGGGAGAATTAATCTCTCCCTTCTATGCATGGAGGAATCTCTCCCTTCTATGTATGAGTTAGAGATTAACTCTGGTGGGAAAAATCAAGACATTACTACACAGTTTAGAGTTATTAAATCATAGGTGCACTGCCTTAACTACTAAAAGGGAAAAGGGCCTTAGGATTAAAGTATACATTTCCAGTTATTAAGAGCAAATGGTTTGATTTTTTTTTTAAATAAAATCTACAGAAGTACAATTTACATACAATAAAATTCACACACTTTAAGGGTACACATAGGTTAATGACTTTTAACCAATGTATATACCCATGTAACCACTACCCTAGTGAAGGTATAAAACATTTCTATTCACCCAAAAAGTTCCTTCGTGCTTTTCAGTCTATCTCTAACCTCCATCCCACCCCAGACACCCACTGATCTGATTTCTATTTCCACAGTCTTGCACGTTCTAGAATTTTATATAAACAGAATCAGTATACTCCTGCATCCAATTTCCCTTGCTCGATATAATGCCTATGTTCATCATCCCTGTTGTTCTAGGTACTGGTAGTTTGTTGCTTTTCATTGCCAAATAGTATCCCCTGTAGAATTCAGCTCTTGGTAGACATTTGGGTTGTTTCCATTCGGGGCTATTATGAATAAAGCAGCTATGGAGATTCATGTGCAAGTCTTGGATGGACATATGTCTTCCCTTCCCTCGGGTAAATATGTAGAAGTGGAATTGCTAATATGGTAAAAATATGGTATATTTAACTTCACAAGAAACTGCCACATGGTTTTCCAGTTTACATTCTTGCCAGCAACGTGTGGTTCCAGTTGCTCTATATCTACATTAATACTAGGTATTGCTTTTTATTTTAGCCTTTCCAGTGATGTAAAGTGGTATCTCACTGTAGTTTCAACTTTTGTTTCCTTGATGGCTAATGATGTTGAGTATCTTTTCATGGTGCTTATTCACGTATCTTCTTTTATGGAGTGTCTATTCAAGTCTTTTGCCCATTTTCAAAAAGTTAGGTTGTTTATTTTGAGTTATAAGCGTCCTTTATATATCTTAAACACAAGTTTTTTTCCCAAATATATTTTCTCCATCACTGATTTGCCTTTTTTAATGGTTTCTTCTGATGATCAAACAAGTTTTGATTTTCATAAAGTCCAATTTATTTTTTCTTTTATAATTTCTCTTCTACTTTTCTTCTTTTCTACTAAGACATCTCTGCTTACCCCAGGGTTGCAAAAAGTTTCTTATGTTTTTTTCTAGAAGTTTTACAGTTTTAGTTTATAGGTTTAGGTTTATAATCCATTTTGAAATAATTTTATATATGAGGTAACGATCAAGGTTTATTTAGTTCCATATGGATTTCCAGTTGTTTTGGCAAGATTTGTTGAAGACTATCTTTTCCCCCACTGAATTACAATGGTGCTTTTGTAGAAAAAAGTCAATGACCACATATATGTGGGTCTGCTTTGACTATTCTGTTCCCTTGATATATATATCTACCTTCCCACTAATATCAAACTCTCTTGATTACTACAGTTTTATAGTAAGTCTTTAAATCAGGTAGTTTACATCCTATAAACTGGCTATTCTTGGTTCTTTTCAGTTTCATGTAAATTTTAACATCAGTTTACACACTTTACAAAAAAGTCTACTGGAGTTTGAATTGGGATTCCCTTGAATCTATAAAAGCTGACTGCCAAGGACTCCAAAAAATTAAGGAAAGCAAAACAGTTTTTAAAAAGATCCAAATGTCAATTTCAAATAAATATAACTCTGAACTGGACTGCATCCAGACACAGGTTCCTTGCACAATGTGGCCTAGCCTCTGTAATCTGACCATGTAAGTAGGCAGAATGTGACTCTAAGGAAACACTGAAGGAGAAGTCTCTATGTATCTGTTCTCTGGGAAGTAAATGCTTCAAATGGCAAAATACAAGTACAGTATATAAAAAGCTGATGGGACTTTCTTTAAGAGCCCTGGTCATTTGAAAGCAGCAAGAGTAACCTTCATCAGTGAGGCGTAGCTCTTTTACTAGGTAAGGCAAGACTACTAACATCCAAATTTGGGAAAGTAAACTAAAGCACACATTATTCAGGTAAGGTTTTCTGGCTCCCATAACAGGTGGAAAAAGAATGCAATTCAAATCAATTCCACAATAATAACAGTAGACCATAACAACTTCAAGAAGAAAGGGAAAAAAGTCGACATGTTAAGTACCCTTAGAAAATTTGATTCAGATAAATCCTGGTTAAGGATTTGTGAAGGTATACAAGTGTGCAAGAAGAAATGGCTGAAAACTATGAGGATAATTAATGTGAGAGTATGTTATAAAATCTTACGAGAAAGCTCTAATTATTCTGATAAAGACTGGATTAATTTTTTTCCAGCAAATTATTTCAGATGATACAAGTTACAGGTAGAGAATAAGTAATAGTTAATTATTTATCTTTGATTACATAAAGTTGTTTGGAGTTCTGCTAATGTATATATTTTGCCAGGGAATGTTTAAAAATGGAAAATATGGTTTTTATTAAAGAACCAACTTTTTATTTCATTGATTTTCTCTATTGTATTCTCTCAGTATTTTCTACTCTGATCCTTATTATTTTCTTCCTTCTGCTTGCTTTGGGTTCAGTTTGCTCTTTTTTTCCATTGTCTTTTTCTTTCCTTTTCTTTTTTTTTTGAGGCAGGGTCTCACTGTCACCCAGGCTGGAGTGTTGTGGCACAATCTCGGCTCACTGCAACCTCTGCCTCCTGGGTTCAAGTGATTGTCTCACCTCAGCCCCCCAAGTAGCTGGGATTACAGGCGCACAAAACCATGCCAAGCTAATTTTTGCATTGTTTGGTAGAGACCGGGTTTCACCATATTGGCCAGGCTGGTCTCAAACTCTTGACCTCAAGTGATCTGCAAGCCTCGGCCTCCGAAAGTCCTGGGATTACAGGCGTGAGCCACCATACCCGGCCTGTTTTTCCATTGGCTTAAGTGGAAAGTTAGGTAATTGATTGAAGAGTATACTTTTTAAATACAGGCACATATAACTATAAATTTTAAGATGCAGAGTAACATTTTACAACTGTTTTGCTAATTATATATTATTCAGCATTTAATTAAATCTGGTTTAATGTTATCTACTAAGCAACAACTTGAGTATATGAAATTTGGCAGCTTAGTTTTAAACGACAAATATAAAACATGTAATTTTAAACTTAAACGTATCACTAACGCTGATTTTTCCCCACTGATTAATAATGTATTTCTGTATTCCTGTTGCATTACTAACAAAATTTAAAGCTGAAATTAAAATATATGAAGTTTCATTTCCAGTTTGATATGAAAAATATTTTATTACAATTTTGTGCCTGTTCAGTAATTTTAGAAAATGTAGTAGAGTTTAGTTCCGACCGGTTTGCTAAATGCTTTCCTGAAGGAAAAAAAAATGTGGTTCACAGTTGAGTTAAAAAACATTTGGGTTCAAAACATTAGTATGGTTCATTTCCAACTTGACTCATGTTTGAATTCAAATTCTCAGTGTTAACATTTATAAGTAGGCCAGAGCCCCATTAAGAATTCAGTACTGTATATTCCTAGTCTGTAAAAATAAATGACAAAACTCCAAACAACTTTATGTAATCAAAGATAAATAATTAACTATTACTTACTCATTCTACACTTAGAGCTTCCCAACAAATGATTTTTTTGTTGTTGTTTTAAGTAGACAGGGTTTTGCTCTGTTGCCCAGGCCTGAGTGCAGTGGTGTGATCTTAGCTCACTGGAGCCTCGAACTCCTGGGTTGAGGGAATCCTCCTGCCTTAGCCTCTTCCCAAGTAGGTGGAACTATAGACACACACCACCACGCCTGGCTAATGTTTTTTAATTTTTATTTTTAGTAAGGATGGGGTCTCACTATGTTGCCCAGGCTGGTCTCAAACTCCTGGTTCAAGCCATCCTTGTGCCTTGGCTTCCCAAAGTGTTAGGATTATGGGCGTGAGCCACCAGGCCCGGCCCACCATCTTATTACCCTTCCCTTTGCTAAGCTTCTGCAAAGCTGAGCAAAAGCAGTGGGCTTCTGCTCCTACTGCACTTAAAAATAGGTCATGACTTCAAAGAACCCCAGAGTTGGAAGGATCCTTGACATTCCAAATGGTCAGTTAGTCTCTACTGAACAATAGGAAGAGAGCTTAATTCCTTTAAGAGTTATTCATTCCATTTTGAAATGTCAGAATGTTCTTTATTCTGATTCAAAGTCTAAGACCCATAACATCCACCCACGAATTATTTCTAAATCTGCCTTCTAAAATTCCAAAGAAAAGTTTAATTCTTCTTCATGACAGTCTTTTAATTATTTTAGAACAGAATAAAATCAGAGAAAAGTGCCTTTGAAAGGCACTCTCTTGGTTTTCCAATCACCTCAATCCCTTTTTCTACTATTCTTCCTTATACTTTCTTTATTTTCATTTCTGAAGTTAATTTAGGCTTTGGAGCTCAGTCCTTGATTCTCTAAATTTTTTTCTTTAGAGAACAAATCCTATTTTGTTGACTGACTCGTCTTATCTGTGTAGCTGTACCCAAACTGCAGTCTTATATATTCACTTGACCCTTCAGATATTCTCAACCTCAGGTGAAGCATGATATTAATAACAATTTGACCATTTGTCCCCAATTTTGTTTTTTCTTCCCATATGCCTCCAATTTCTGTAATGATACTTCCAACATCCCAGTTGCCTAGACTGAAAACCCTGAGATCATGTGATCATGTACAGGTCTCCCCTTATTCTCTTCTACATTAAACTGGTTGAATCTTGTTAATTCATTTTTTTTTTTTTTTTTCTTTTTAACAGGGTCTCGCTCTATTGCCCAGGTTGGAGTGCAGTGGCATGATCATGGCTCACTGCAACCTCCTGCCTCAGCCTCCAAGTAGCTAGGACTACAGGTGCATGCCACCATGCCTGGCTAATACTTGTGGGGTTTTTGTGTGTGTGTGTGTTTTTTTTTGGAGACAGAGTTTTGCTCTTGTCGCCCAGGGTGGAGTGCAGTGGCGTGATCTCGGCTCACTGCAACCTCTGCCTCCCGGGTTCAAGTGATTCTCCTGTCTCAACCTCCCAAGTAGCTGGGATTACAGGTGTGTGCCACCACACCCAGCTAATTTTCATATTTTTAGTAGAGACAGGGTTTCGCCATGTTGGCCAAGCTGGTCTCGAACGCCTGACCTCAGGTGATCTGCCGGCCCTGGCCTTCCAAAGTACTGGGATTACAGGCATGAGCCAATGTGCCCGGCCTATTTGTATTTTTTTGTAGAGACAGGGTTTTGCCATGTTTGAGACTGGTCCCAAACTCCTGGGCTCAAGCGGTCCACCTGCCTTGGCCTTCCAAAGTACTGGGATTATAGGTGTGAGCACTGCGCCCGGCCTAATTCTTTCTTTGAAATAAGGTCTTCATTATCTCATGCCTACACTACTGTTGCCATGGCTCCTGAAACGCTCTGTGGAGTTCTCTCTTTACACACCCTCTATTCCACCATTTCAACATTCAGCCATAAGATTCATTTTCCTAAATAACAGATTTCAGAATCATTTCTCTACTAAAATTTTGATGGTTGCCCAATGCCTAACATGTAAACTCTAAACTTCTCAATATGACTTTTAAGTTTTACAATAACTGCACTCTTAAGAATCCAACCTACTCTCTTTAATATTCTCTACTGCAAACTTCTCCCTCATGGTCTTATAATATCCCATGTTTATTACCGGTTTCATAAAAATCTTTTTAAACTTTAAAAAAACGAAAGAGTACACAGTAAAGTACATGAAACATAAATGTAGAGAATAAGAAATAATTATAAAGTGAACATCTATGGAACCACCACCCAAATCAAGAAATAAAACACTGCTTGTACCCCGGAAGACTTTTTCTCATGTGACCCTTCTTGATCACACCCTAATCCCTTAGGAGTAACCACTATCTCGACTTAACAGTAATTGTGTGCTTTCCTTACGGTTTTACCACCCAGGTACATCCTTAAATAATATATTTTGGTTTGCCTCTTTTTGAATTATACTTTATGTGTTCTTTCATCAACACTATTTGTAAGACTTCAGGTTGCTGGTAATTCTAGTTTGGTTTCATGACTATAATTCAGGATTTCTCAACCTCCGCACTATATTGACATTGGGAGTGACACTTTGTTGTAGTGGCTGTCCCATGTATTGCAGGATGTTAAGGGGCATCCCTTGCACCACCCATTAGAAGTCAGTAGTACTTCACCTTTTGACAACCAAAAAATGTCTCCGGATATTGCCAAATGTCTAACAGGCAAAAATCACTCCTGGTAGAGAACTACTGCTCTAATTCATTCATTTCCATTCCTCATTCATTAATGGTGTTCCATTCTAATGAATATATCACAGTTACTTTTCCAATCTACTACAAAAATAATGCTGTTATGAACACTCTTATTTATAGGTCTTCAGAAGCATATACACATGCATTTTTCTAGAATGGGAATCGCTGGGTCATTTCTGTGTTTTATAAGGCTCACCCGTTTTTTCAAAGTAGTTGTACCATGAGAATTCATACTGCTATACAAGCTACTCAAAAGCCTAAGTATTACCCATAAGATACTAAGACATAAGCAACTACAGAGATTTTCTCCCTCCCAACCAATGCACAAATTCCATTCCTGTAATTTTCCCCCATCCTCCAGCTCCTCACCTTCTTTTCTACCCTAATTACAACTGCCCTTCAAGCCTTAGATGATGTTCACCTTTTCTCAGGGGAGAACAGCACTATCTCCTATTGCCCTCCTCTTTCCCTAAACTTGAATAGCATTTCTGAACTGAGGTACTCATTTTTGTTAGTCACATACTTCCCAAAACTGTAAGCTGTTAGGCAGCACCAAAGCTGCCTTTTAATTTCTTCTCTGAAAGAAAGAATCCAGCTGGGCGCGGCGGCTCATGCCATTAATCCCAGCATTTTCGGAGGCCAAGGCGGGAGGATAGTTTGATCCCAGGAATCTGAGACCAGCCTGGGCAACAGTGGGACCCTGTCTCAAAGAGAGGAGAAATAATTCCTTTCTGGCCTAGCAAAGTAATCTAACTACACATATATAAATGTTCAACAAGGAGGCCTTGAATAAATGAGAATAGACAAGCTTTGAACCTGAAAGTAACTGAGATTTAAAAGGTAGTAACAGGCAGGAAACCTAAATCCTAGTCCTGGCTCTCATCCAGAATGTAAACTTCAGCAAGTGATTTCCCCTCTCCGGGCACTGGTTTCTTCATCCGCAAAAGTGTTAGAACACATGACCTCAGAGGTCCCCTCCGGCTTTAGAATTCGGTAAGAAAATTGAACTTCATCAAATCGAGCTTGAGGATGATACCGGTAGTGGGGGTGAGGGAGTCCCTCGGTTGTCGACCGGGTTTGTGGCGGTGGTGGGGTTCCTCTGTTGCTCCCTGGAGCTCAAGAGAACGACCACGACAGCTGAGGTCAGCCGCCAGGGCGGGGACCAGAGGCGCTGACCGCCACAGGCCATCCCCCGTGTGCCTAAATACCGCTACCGGGTCACCGGGACGGGCAGTGCGGCCAAGTCCGCCCCGCGAACGGCCTCCCTGGGAAGGCCAGCCTGGGGTGTGAGACACCTCGGGGGCCGGCCGCGAGCCAAGGGAGCGCCCAGTCGCTCACCCGGTTGGGATATTCCTTCTCCACACAGTCGCCACACATCGCGATGAGGTCAACATGGAATGCCCTCCAACGCTTCCGGGAAGACCAAACCTCGCGAGAGCTGAGATATGGTTGCCGCATGCGCCCAACTACTCGACTCCTGGATATTCCGTCTCGGGAACTGAGCCGAAATCTCTGCCCCTTAGCAACTGTTGTCAAGGCAGGGCACAGTCTCCTTGGCACCTTGCGTCGGCAAAGGGTGGGGCTTCAGAACTCCTTCCGAGAAAGAGGAAGAAATCGTGTGCACTGACAGATGTGACGGGAAGGGAAGGTGGATCTTGGGCTGAGCGAAGTTCTCACAGACACCTTCCTGAGCTTAGGCTGATAAGAAAGGAAAATCACAACACACAAGAAAGGGAATTATTTCTCGCTACCACATATACAAATCTGAAATGTTAATAAATACCTTTCTGTACCATTTCTTAAGGCAATGAGAATGAATAAGACACTAGATAGATCTCAGCAGGTGAATAAACAGTAACTGAAGTGTTTGGGAAGAGACACCCAGAGTGCTGCAGAAAATCTCCTCAAAGAACACTTAAAATATTAGTCATAATTAGCCATTCCGAAGTCCTCTGGAGGACATAGCAACGGGGACCGTATTTCTATCTCTCTCAGGTGTCACAGAAGCACCTCAGTGGCGGGCAAGGACTAGTTAAATAGACAAATGACCAGGTCAGTTGTTCCTGCATCATTTCCCAATCCTGTGGATCTCAAAATGCTTGTGATTGGCGCCCCGCCTCATCCTTTCTGTGTTGAAAGCATCTTATTTATTCGCAACCATCTAATTAACTTGCATACGAATCTCCGAAGTTTGTCTTTGCTTCTGAACAATGTGTCTTCATCACACTCCTCTACTCCTATGGGAACATCAACATCCTCCCTCAGCCCTGCTTTATTGCTGTCATGTCAGTGAAGAAAGATTGGGGAGCATGGGAGACTCTGGGATCCAGATTCCTTAAAGAAGAGATTAATAACCATTTCAAAGCACACTAGTTTAACTGGGCTTGCTAATATGGGAATTATTTTTCCACAGAAGCACTGAAATTGTAACCTTTAGTATTTCAACTTCTAGTAAGTACCTGCAACAGTTACTAAAAATCACAGGTGTGCTAAGAAACACTGCAAGAACTACAGCCATCAGAGTTTACTTTATTCTTAGAATAATTATAATGCCTCCCATTTGTATGACATTTTCAACCTTTCAAAAGTGTCCTCATTTCAGTTTCTAATTTTATGCTATTACAACCCTATGTGGTTGGTAAGAAAAATATGCCTCCTCTTTTCAGATAAGGAAACCACAGAAGTGAGTGGTTAAAGGTCTTGTCTATGGTAAAACTACTCAGTAGTTAGCCAGCGCTAAGACTCTGTTGCTATCCTTGGCTCAATTTCTTTCTAATACAGTAGCACTAGCCACTTATGACTATGAAGCACTTTAAATACGGCAAGTTTGAACTGAGATTGTGCTGTGAGTACATTCTGCACACTAGATTTGGAAGATTTAGTAGTAAAAAATATAAAAATCTCATTAATAAATTTATATGATAATGTTGAAATAATTTTTGACATACTGGGTTAAATAAAAATGTATTATTAAATTAATTTCATTTGCTTTTTTAAATGTGGCTACTAGAAAATTAAAAATTACACATGTAACTCTCATATTCCTATTGGACAGGGCTAGTCTATTCTTTTTTTCTCTCTCTCTTTTAAGGCAGAGTCTCACTCTGTCACCTAGGCTGGAGTGAACTGGCGCAGTCTCGGCTCACTGCAGCCTCTGCCTCCCGGGTTCAAGTGATTCTAATGCCTCAGCCTCCCGAGTACCTGGGACGACAGGGGCACACCACCACAACCAGCTGATTTTTTGTAGTTTTAGTAGAGATGGGGTTTCACCATGTTGGCCAGGGTGGTCTCGAACTCCTGGTCTTAAGTGATACACCCGCCTCAGCCTCCCGAAGTGCCGGGATTATAGGCATGAGCCACTGCACCTGGCCCAATTCTCTCTCTTCGTCCATTTTTAATTGCTTTCTCTGTTTTTAAAGGCTAATACTGACTTTTAATCCTTTCTTACTCCCCAGATACTCACGATTTAGTCTGAGAGATAAAATGAGCACAAATACTAATAATTACTGGCAGATTGGGGTATTAGAACACAAAATGGTGAGACTATGCCCAGGTGGAGGATTACGAAAGAGGAATTTGGGCCTTAAAACATGTATAGAATTTCAAAAAGCAGAGTTTTGTTTTGTTTTGTATAGAAATTTCAGGTGGACCACAAGGAGTTTGGATTTTATTCTGCATGTGGTAAGGAGCCGCTGAAGGTTTGAGCAGGAGAGTGTTGTCAGAGTTGTGGTTTAAAATTATTTTAGGCTGGGTGTGGTGGCTCACACCTGTAATCCCAACACTTCGGGAGGCCAAGGCAGGAGGATAGCTTGAAGCCAGGAGTTCAAGACCAGCTTGGGCAACATAGTGATGACCTCAAAAAATTTAAAAATTAGCCCAGTGTGGTGGTGTGCACCTGCAGTCCTAGCTATTCAGGAGGCTGAGATGGGAAGATCTCTTGAGCCTAGGAGTTTGAGGCTGTGATGAGCTATGATCATGCCACTGCACCCCTGCCTGGGCAACACAGCGAGACCCTGTCCCTAAAAACTAAATAAATAAAAAAGAAGATTATTTTAGCTGCATTTTATTGGGACTTATTGGAACTGGGGGAAAAAAATGGACATGCCAAAGGCAGACACTAGCAGGAACCACAAGGGGGAGATGTGTAGCTTTCTGCCTCATCACTGAGACTATACACGACAAAAATAAATTAATGAAAAATTATACTACAGTCATAGATCTCAAAGATTACACCCATTAGCATGAATTGATTTCATATTCTAAAGCGTGAAAGACAATCTACATATTTATGAAATTTTTTTACCTTCCCAGAGTTATAACATGTCATTAAAATAAGCAAGATTTAAAAAAAAAAAAAGGTCATCATATTCATGGTCACAAAAGCTCAAGAGCTCAGGGCTGTCTATCCAGTGAAGTTCTCCATTTAAATCTAGCGACATTCAGAGGAGAGAGGCAGGAAGTGAGACTCAGTGGAAGAGGTAGACAGGACCAGAAATTAAAGTGTGATTGTGGTAATGGGAATATAAAAGTATCTGAGGTTGACAAATGGGAGAAAGGAAAATAGAGGCTACAAAGCAGAAGAAGATTAGCACCTGAATAAAATGAACAAGTAGTGATGTAACATAAGAAAAACAATAAACAAAAAAAAAACTTTTCTCTTATAGGTAACAATATAATATAACATTTGCAGAATCAATTTTATCTTCTAATAGAATTTTCTCTGGGGCAATATGGGTGCCCCTATGGGTCCTTAATAAATGTGTGATGTCCATGATGTACATCAAACAAACCATGTTGCAGTTTACATATGAAATCATCTCTTGTAAAAGGAATTTATTAAAGAAAATCTAAATGTTAAAATGGCCCCAATTGCTGGCTCAATTACATGTGCTAAACTACATCCCTGTGGCAAGATGAAAGTTTTCCCTAAGAAGTGCAGTTTGACTCTCCTTTTAACACCTTCTTCCTATTTTTTCTTTTGCCTTATGATGTCTTAAGCCAAGAGGCTGAAAGGAGGACACAATGCTGATCATATCTATTCTTTTCATCTTTTGTTGAAAGGAGCAAAAAAGTGCCTCAGCCTTTATGGTAGTATCCTCAGACCCATTTCTTTTTTTTCTTTTTTTCTTTCTTTTTGAGATGGAGTCTTGCTCTATCGCCCAGGCTAGAGTGCAGTGGCATGATTTCGGCTCACTACAACCTCCGCCTCCCAGGTTCAAGGGATTCTCCCGCCTCTGCCTCCTGAATAGCTGGGACTACAGGCGCATGCCACCATGCCCGGCTAATTTTTTATTTTTAGTAGAGACAGGGTTTCACCATCTTGGCCAGGCTGGTCTTGAACTCCTGACCTTGTGATCCACCCGCCTCGGCCTCCCAAAGTGCTGGGATTACAGGCGTGAGCCACTGCGCCCAGCCCTCAGACCAGTTTCACAGATGGAGTAGAGGAACCTCATCTCCGAGCAGAAGCTTGTCTGCTTGGGAAGGTATAGGTCATTCTTTCCATTGTTTCAGGGAAAGTGTGAAATAAGAGTCTGTGGTTGTCCTCACCTGATGTCACCTGCCTGGTATGAACGAATTAGCAGCATTTCTGGGTTAACACAGTGAACACAGGTGAGCCTGGCTGCGGACAGGTATGAAAGCATTCCTAGAAGTTCAGGGTCAGCAGGTTTTCTTCTTAGTTCAGTGGGAGAGTTAGACTTTCTTCCCTTTAGGGTTCTCCTGCTCAATTTCAGGCTACTTCCCTATTCAGATGATAAACTGAAGCCTTTCAAACACATTTATTTATTTATTTATTGCTTTTTAAAACTTTATTTCAACATAACTATTCTTACAGAAGTACACTCATATTGGCTAATGGAATGCAATTTAAGTTTAAACTTACCCTGCACAATTTGAATAAAAAACTTGGTACGTGGTTTAAGGTTTCAAAAATGATTTGCAGTCTGGTTTATTTTTTATCTATTACAAATGTATAAAAGATCCTCCATCAAATTCTGCTAAAGAAGGCAGCAGAAACTTGAGAAAATTACCTTTGGTTTGCCTTAGGAAAAAAACAGGCATTACACTGCTTAAGTTTATAAAATTGGTGCAGAAAAAATTGTTGTAATACTTCAATGCCAGTTTAGAAAGTTCAGTACCAATGGATATGGAAATGGGTGTGAAGGAGCCTGTGTACACATGTGAAACTGTAAATATCTGATTTAGGGAATATTGCATGTAGATTATAAATCCACACACACCAAGATTCATATAATTTCTTCAATCTGAATTAACACTATCTGTTCACTTCATCTGCTAAGGTCAGTCAGGGAACTGGACAGAGTAGTTGTTTTTCTGATGTATGCAAAAAAGAAAAGGGAATTTCTTCCTCAGCTTTTCAGTCCAGAAGTCAGTGTACTACGGGCAACGTATAGCTTCCGTTGTCAACATTCATAGAGTGACATGCAATGAGGTCTACT